GCCAGGTATGATCTTTATAGTTTACAATGTCATCTTTCTTGTACTTTCATACTGTACTTTTTAGGTTTATAAAACTTGCATGCTAAACAACAATGTCACTCTGCATGAAAACCAAAACTATTAGGATAGCCACAAAACCAAAACTCAAAACTAAAACTAAAATCAATAAAGATAAAATTCACTGTCACAACATTCAAAATATAAGACAACTCAAAATTAACATCAAAAAAACAACAACTACAACTAAATTAAGACGTCTCTATTGGATGATCGGGAATCCCTCAGACGAAATAACTTCTGGCTGCTAACGAGACTTCTCACGGTCTAAATGAAAGTATGAAACTCATTAAGTTGAGTTTAGTAAATTCATTTGGACTAAGTGAATCTAATAGAAAATAGTAGTACCGGAACGAGGGAACCGTGGAATCCTAACCGGTGTCGCTCTATCCTAACCGGTCTCGCTCTAATCAACTTCAACATCCCTCATAACATTTAAAGAACTTCAACCATATGGCCGTCTGATTTGACATCATAACTTGACACCCTAGAAAACTTAAACTCGTCACGGTAAGGAGCTTGGAGCTAGCATGGTGGGCAACACGACCTGGCCATCTTCAACAGTAAAATATGTATTCCCCAGCTAAACCAATTTCCTTCATTAGAATTAAACAACTAAGCCATAGAACTAAGTCATGGGATTTTGAGGTAGTTTGCTTATGCAACATAAATCCTCACCTCAACTTTAGGCCTTTGAACAGCTCAGCTGTATAATATAAGCTCTAACTCGTCTTAAGATTCCGAGGTTGTCGTCCATCACGACCTAAATCCTCACATCTTTCAGGTTATTTATGTGATCGTTTCACACAAATGTAAGCTCTAAACCAATAAAATTTGCATGATGAAACACTTAAATATTTCTCCTCAAAATTGAAGTCAAACCATAGGATAGCTTGGGAAGTCACCGAGGTTCTCTTCCGGATCCATGACATCGGATCCATGCGGATCCATGACATCCCCTGGTTCTTTCTCCTTTAGATTCCAAAAATAAAATGTTCTAAATTTGAGTCGATCCCTTTTCACACCTCTTTGTCTGATATCGTTGAAAAGTCTTATCCTTTGACCTCCTTAAGATAATATTTTCTGATTTTTATCGAGAGTTTTCTTAGGTGACTTCGGTTATCTAAGATGTAATTAACTATTGGGGTTTGCCCTTATAAGAAGCTTGTCTAAACCCAACTTAATATAAACTCTATTTAATTCTTCAAATTAAATCGGGGAAATTGTCGGCAAATAAAACGGTTTCGCAGACCAAACGAACGTCATATATTTCTCGGTTTATTTGATCGAATCTCATCCTCAAACATTGTGTTTATCCTGCAGGATAGATACAGAGTTTGAGGTACAGCACTCTTTCGTTTAAACTATGAAAAATATGGGTCAGTTTGATTTCATATTTTTCTAAATTTAAATATATATGTAAATTAAAATGTTCTTCTGAAATGGGCGACGGAATTTCGATTCTGGTGACCGACACTTGGTAGAGGACAACTAGGATAAACCGAATCAATTGCAGGAACTGATCTTTTCGCTAAGTGGGCCAAAGAGGATGAGTCGAGTGAGTGATTCACAGTCAACTGGTCAAGCTGTTGTAGAAAAACCGCAAGAAGAGATGACTGTAATTGATGTAACAAAATGCACAAAAAGTGCAGACAGCAATCAATTGAGAGCTCTGTTCGAATAGACCGCATGCTATGTTCAAGTAGAAAAATCAAATGAACGTAAGAAACTGAATGCAATGACATCGCGATCGATAGAAAGAGAGATCTATTATGCAAGGACATTGATCATACATGAGGAGATGAAAGCGTTGAACTATAACTTCGAACGACAGCATCCGAGATATCTATGGATCTGTCATCGTTGATGGTAGGGATGGAGTGGTTGAGGAATAGAATAAAGCGGACCAAAGCTTTGATTGATGCCCCAATCGATTGTCTAGGATGACTGATTCATACGAAATGCAGAAGACACGCAGACCACAATCAATTTAAACACAAAATTCAAACAACAAGCGCAAGGAACGACACTAAGTAGAAGAGCAAAAACGACGAGTCGAGATTCAAAATAGCTACAATATCGAGCAGAAGTGACCAACAAAGGAGTTGAATGACACAAACGGCTCTGTTACCATGTAGAGATTTTGAAACAAATATTATTTCTTACTCCAATCACATGAATTACACCTTGCTCTATATATATATATATATATATATATAATAAGTAAATGAAACCAAATAGAAATCCCTCCAAATAAAAAAAACAACAAAAAGAAATATCTAATAAAAAAACACAATTAGTGAAATATATTTTGAAGAAAGGAAATAAATTCCTTCCTTATTCTGATTAGCACTTTTCAATATTATCATATCTAGAAATTAGTGGTAAGATATATTAATCCTCCTACATTGTCTTTGATGAGTTTTATGAGAGAAATTGAACCTAACTTACACATTCATTTTATACAAGTTCAATCAAACCCTTTTTATCTCTTCATTTCACTCAGCTTATAATCAAGTAATCGTATATTAACCCCTTCTTTTATGAATCCATATAAATTGACTATCTCAAATCTTCTTATTATTTTATCTTCTACTCTTCATTAAACAATTTTCAAAATATCTAAGCCTATTTAAAATTTTATATTCAATAACTCTTCTGATATAATCACTGCAAGCAATCATTCCTAAATTTATTACACAATATCATCATAACATTTTTTTTTTAATTTTTGAATCTCAACTTATCTATAGCTGATTTTATCTCTAATATAATCATTCTCAATCTATAATTCCATTTTATAACACATTCTCACCATGAAATTCTTTCTTTTTCCAAATCTCATCTTATCTATCAATAATTTCATTATTCTCCAGCACTGGGACATAAAATAGTTAGACAGGTTATAATTTATAATGATTAAATTTAATCTTTATGATATTCTCTTCTTATAATCTTTGCCTGAGGCAATTTTATAAAAAGCATAAGCAAATTACTCCATTTTATCAAATATTCTAATAATTATATACAACTAAAAGAAAAACCTACGGGATAAAAAAGAGAAAGCACGTTGTGAATCTGATTTTGATATTAAGTAGGATGTTTAGTTAAAAATTTGTTGGTCAGTTAGTTGATTTAGTTTGAGTTAGCTTTTTATTCTATAAGTATTCCTAATCTAGTAGAATGATGGAATGAAATAAATGAATAAGTTTTCCCTCTTATAATTTTTTTTCTCTTCTTTCTTAAATTTATTGTGTGTCGAGCAGCACAAAATGCTTAAATTGGTTCTAAGATCCCATTAATTATGCTTTCATTGAGAAATAAACTCAAAATCCAATGCCCCAACCAGTGATCTACCTCTTCCCAATCAAACTCAATAGAATGGAAGTTCTTTCCAATTGTGATACCCTTTCATATTGGAGCTCTTTTCAACTACACCGTCAAGATCCATCTCTTCCAAACCATGCCATGCAATCTGTTTTATCCAGCTCTATTGATTCAAGAACTAACAACCCAACATTTGCACCTTCCTATACATCAGCAAGACAGCAACATCTCTTCGACACCATCAATTCCCAAATCACCATTAGATGTTCCATCACCATCCAAGTACCCCATCTCTATTGGCAACTCACATCCCTCTCTTATAGCTCAGCTGGATTGAGCACCTCCAAGCCCTTCATTGGTGGCTCTGATCCTCGCCAATTAACATTCCCCGTACTAGGCTAAAAAATATAGACGCTAAAGTAGCATTTACTGTGGCCTTCAAAGATATTACCTTACGATAGTTAAATCAGACAAGTGCTTTGGACTACATATTCAACAGGAATAATTAATAGAACCAATAGTTCATACATCTACGGGTGCAAATTCCACAAAAGTTCTAGATTTCCTAATTTTCATATTTTGTAAGGAAGGGAAAAATTGAAATGCAGAAGAGACCATGTTTCCTCTTGGGGAAGCCATGCATCAATCCAGAGACAAGCTCTCTTATGCTGATGTGGTTTTGTACACTATTTTGGAAGTAAAAATGAATGACGATTTAAGCACAACCAGAAATTGGTTGGTGTTCTTCTTCATGATAGATTATGTGCCCACTTCCACCCTTAATTCTCCCAAAGTACAGACCAAATTTTTCTAAGTGCCTTATTGGATCCCGATTTATCGTTGAACTAAGATATCCAAGGGAAGAGTTAAGAACAATGAATTAAAACCAAGAAACAAAGAAATGATTCAATGGAAAATAAGCTTTTTATAATATCTGCGGATCGATCACCTTTCTTGTAATGACTAACCTTATTTATAATTGAGTCAATTCGTACGTTATAACGTTACAAACGATCAGATTACTACGATCTGACTACCAAATCGCCATTAGTCATACATGCCTATCAATCCCGATTATCTTGTGTAATCTTATTTCAGGGATCAAATAAATGAAATGAAACGCTTTGAGAAATTGTGGCTGAATGATTGCCACCAAATACATTTGCTGGACTTAAGAAGTTATGGATGGACGGACAATCAACACCTTCATTGTCACCAATGGTCCGGCTTGCATTTCATTTCCAGGTCGTCCTTGAAGGTAAGGTCATTATTGGTGGGGAGAAATATTTCGAATCTAATTGGACATTAAGAAGAATGTTTAACAACTTCAAGTAAACATTATATTCTATAAATACTTCCAATCATGAAAGATGATGTCATGAAATAACTAATTTCCCCCTCTTATCAGTTCTTTTCTTCTTTCTTCTAGATTTCTGTAGTGTAGCTCAGAATGCTCAAATTGGGTCTTAGATTCTATAACATCCGCACTGTCCAATAACAAAATCAGATCCTAAAACAGTAAGGCCAATGATGACACCAAGCTCCTGAGAACCACTTAAAACCCTAAAACCCTCAACGCAGAGGGAGAGGGAGAGGGAGAGGGAGAGAGAGTTCACCGTGGGAGAGAAATGGTCGAGCGTCTGATCGAACCAGTGTACTTCTTGCGTGAGGTACGCTCTCGGGTCGGTCGGGAGGAGGAACCTTTTGCCATTTGCGGATAAGAGAGGGGAGAGAAGCAGCAGTGGCAGAAGAAAGAACAGCACGTTCATTGGGTTCATTTGTCCTCAAGCTACGCAGACACTTCCCTTGGCGGAAAGGTAGTAATTTTCTGTGCAACAAAATGCTTCCCCCAAGTTCGTTATAACATCCAGAAGCGAAGAGAAGGTAAGGCTTTCCAAATTCTTCGTGCGGCCACGAGAAACGAAAAAAATTACATAACACGGTACTAACAATACTGTTATTTTCAGAACTATGACCCTGGATGTATTTTGTCTCAATCGATTGGTTATACATGTAGGGCTTAAACCAGTCGAGCTTGAGCTAGTTCGGGCTTGGCTCTTGTTCGGTTCGTTCGAAATTGTTCTTGTTTGAAATCGGCTCGTGTTCGAAAACGGCTCGTGAACAGTATGTTTGTTCGGCTCGAAATTGGCTTGTCAAAATTAAACTAAAAAAATAAATGTAGAGTGTTGAATTCAAATATGAATCAAATGCATGCAAAACAATGTGTATAACCAGATTACCACAAGAGCAATTGTGATTTAAACTTATATATAAATATATATAATATATTATTATATATTATTATATAAATAATATGTGTAATATATTTTTATATAAATAATTATTTTATTTCGAGCTAAAACAAGCCGAACACGACCGAACAAAGAGTTATTCGTGTTCGGCTTGTTTATAATTCGAGCTTTAAAAACTTGTTCATATTCGGCTCGTTTATAATTCGAGCTTAATTCGAGCTTTAAGCTTTAAAAACTTGTTCATGTTCGGCTTGTTCGTTAAGTAAACGAGTCAAACATGAGCTGTTCGCGATCAACGAGCTTTTTTGACAACCCTATGTACATGCCACCACCAAACTAGTTAGAATTTGATAAAAATAAAACTATTTGTTGAGACTTTATCATGAACTTTGATATTTAATTGAGCATTTGAAAATGAATGAAAGATAACTGCCCCATATTTGTATAAGTCATTTTAATGTTAAATAAAAGTCAGTGTCAAAATCTCCATATGAAAGTTCATATTAAAATCATTATTTAATATTAAAATAACAATAAATAAATGAAAATTTGACTTTATATTATCACCAATAATAAACATTGAAAAAATATGTATTGTTTAGTTTATTGAGAAAAATATGATGGAAAATTAGTTTGGACCAAAATGCTCTTTCTCCCTTATTTTTTCATAAATAGTCAAAATTCATGCTAAACAGTTGAGTGGTTATTCGTCGTCACCTTTTTTTTATTATGAAGATTGTAGCATGTGCATTGAGCTATACTAATGATCTCTTAATTCATCACATGTGAAAATTAGTGATATTATGTGTGATTATCTTCATTTTATTATATTTTTACATTTTAAATTATTTGAATTATCTTCAAACAATGATTAAATCATGATTTAATAATATATTGAATTAGATTGAACAATCTTTGAACAACTGATTATATCATGATTGAACCATCTTCAATTATAATTGAAACAATCTTTGAACCGTGATTGAACCATTGTTGATCCAAAATTGAAGTATCTTTGTAATCTCAAAGATGTTTGAAGATGGTACAATTATTGTTGGATCATGAATTAGTCGTGGTTTGAAGATGATTTGATCACAGGTCAATCATAATTTGATTGTGGTAATTGCTCAATTTAGGGCCGATATTGATTTTGCTATTTTTTAAATCATGCTATGATTTTAGCTTAAAGATTGTGTGATCATGTTTTCAGTATGGTTTAAATGATTAAATCAAGTCTTAGTTCTGATTTAAATATGGTCATAATATGATTCAAAGGTTCGTCATGGTTTGATTATAATTGAAAGATTTTTTTTGTATCGTGATAGTAGTTTGATTAAGATTTGAGCATGTTTAGGTAATATTTGAAGATGAATCGAGCATGATTTGGATATGATTCATTTATTTGAGTTGTTTTGCTAATTGAGTTATTTTTTTTATTTAGATGACTATTTTAATCATGTTTGAAAATAAGTGTTATAACACTTAAGTTACATTTAGAGCAGATGGTGTGATGGAGAATTGGTTAAATAGCTAGAAGTTAATTATGGTCTTATTGTTGAGGCTGGGAGATCCTTCTTTGGATAGTTTTTCAAAACATATGAATAGTTACTCTTTCATCAACCATTACTAAAAATGGCTCTTGATGATGGGAATGATAGATGCTCTATTAATTTTAATACTAATAGTAGGAAATTGGAATTAATGTAGCTATGTTTTCTTAATCACTAAGTTAAAGTTTTAGAAAATCCCAACCTTAAGAGAATTTCTAAAAAATAAAACTAATTTTGATGGGGATAAAAACTTCAAAAATATTGACCAAGAAAAAGCTTTCATAGAGTGTATGAGAAGATTTGATGAGGAAGACTTGGGCAATATTTCTTGTTAGATGGTGTCCTCCTACTCCATAATAAACATAGTATTTTCATACATTGATAATATATTTAGTTAAATATAAGGATGCTTTTTTTGAGGTAATCATAGGATAACATAGCATGGAGATATTTTTTGTAGAGTTGAAGATTGATATGTATACTATAAGGAGATTGCCATAAAGAGTAATGCTCTAGCTCAATATAATGCAATCACATATGCAATGTAACCAAATATTTGGTCATGAAGTTATATTAGAGCTGTGGAGTGGATGTTTTAATTTTATTGGAAAGAGAGTACTAAGTATGTTGAAATTAAGAAAAATAATAAGGTGCTCTCTACTATATTTTTTCTTTTTCATTATTGGTTAATAAAGATGTATGTGTTAGTCATTATCTCAAATTAATTAATTTTAATTTATTTATGCATGGGATATCTAAATATTATATTATTTCTAATATTGGATTATTTATTTTATATTAAATCATAGAGCTAATGAGAACTTTTTAAATTGCACGTACTCCCACTCAATCATTCCCAGTAGAATTATAAAGAGAAATCAATTACCCTAATTTTTAAGAGAAAAAACGAGAGGGAGTGGTGGCATAGTTGGCTGCTAGTCAGACCAAACCCTCTCATAAAGGGTTGAAGCAACCTCTCATTGTATAAGAGTTGAGGATCAATTAGGGTTTGGGATGGTGTAGAGAGAGAGAGAGAGAGAGAGAGAGAGAGAGAGAGAGAGATGCAAAAGCTAGAGGACATATGGGACTAACCCAATCCATTATATGAAGAAAAAAGTGGTCGAGAGATTAGGGGATATTATTTCACCCCTTTTAATTACATAAAAGTTTGATGTATATTTAGTAGGATTTAAAAATAGTTTATAGAAGAATATAAAGTATTTAACTAATAATTTTACTGATCCATCAAGAAAGATGTCTACACTTATGTACATATTTTTCATTAATCCCCTCTAATAAATTAAAAAGAACTAATTACCCTCCTATAAGTCTCAAATATCAAACTTAGAGGATAACTCTAAAGAGAATGAAATAAAAGTGAGTAGTACTTAAAACATAGTATGATTTTGACATTTTAATATTTTCATAATATGATGTAATAGTAAGATAAGAAATATTTACTTCATTAAGTAATGTGAAATTAGATGTTATTTACAGTAACTTCAATATCTATTTTATTGTACATTGATGATGTTTCTAAAAAAAGTAGTAAATTTTGTTGTTATTCAAAGATCTACGGATATGTCATTATTTTTTTAGATAAATTATCTAATTAGTACTATATAGTTACAAATCTATATATAAAAAAGGCTAAAGGGAAAAGAAATTGTTGAGTCTTGATTTGGTTATTTGTGGGTTTTTTTAAAATGCTACTTAACACTAAGAAGGAGAGGAGGAAGAGAGTTGGTTAGAGATGAAAGTTGATAAGGGAAAAGAGAAAAAAATTCAATATAAAGTTTAACAAAACATTAGATATAAGCCTATAGTGTTGTAATAATATAAAAAAAAAATTGCATAAACCATGCTCTTCCCATAACCCCTTATTTATAGGTGAGAATTGAAGTTTAAGCACTAAGAGAATGGAAATGGAATGTTATATTGAAAAATAAGTACAACATGGGAATAGCCTAAATAAAGACTAAGACTTAGCTTAGCAGTCAACCAATCTAACTTAAGAAAGTTAATGGTTCTTATGGTTGAAGTCATCAAATAACTCAATGGGGTTGGGTGATCTAGACTAGGATGCTCAAACAAGTTCATTACTTTCTTATGATGAGTTATTTATTAGCTTGGTAGATAATCCTTGCTTAAGTTTGGTTGGTGGGTCTACCCTGATCATGGTGGGCGAGTCTTTTGTAAACTTGACTAGTGAGTTCTCCACGGACTTGATCAAAAACTCAAGCTCAAGCTCAGCTTGCAAGCCTTTCTAAACATTACTTAGTGAGTCATCCTAGGTTTGATTAGATGAGTTCCAATTTTAGTGCATTTTGAGTGCATGTTTAGTTTATATGCCACTCATATCATTACAAGGTGACTATGAAAAGAGCAAAAAATGATAGCAAAAATAATTATTATTATAAAACTAAAGATGTGACTTAACTTTTTTTCATTGTATAGGTCATATATGCTTACATGTCAAGTTGATTGATTTATTATTCTATAATAAAGCAAGTAATTGCAATAATTGGTATTTAATATGTGTAAAAATGTCAGTAGAAAATTTTAAATACGTTTAGTATAAGATTCCATGTTTATTTGGAGCCCTTGGTCCATTTTTTTGTCTATGAAATAAATTTTAGTTTCATATAAATGTTATATTTTTATCAAAGGTGGAAAGGTTACAATGCTATGAAACCTTTCTCTTATTATTAATTGAGCTCTATAGTTTTTTAGACAACTTAGAACCATGTAAGTAAGATTAAAATTTTTAGAGGATGTCATGATGGTAAACATTAATAAGATGTGCAAAGAAAAAAATTTGGAGAGGAAGAAATAATTAAGATTAGAGCTCGCTAAGGCAATTAAGAAAAAAATAGGGGAGATTGCTCATTCTTATTTAATAGCTCCAGATGTAATCCTTATGGGGAGGCCCCTTCAAGGGATATTTGCACCCAAGGTGATAGTTAGTGAGCCTATGCTGCATGTAATTACAAAATTTATTATAATAGTTTAGTATTTTTCTACTAATCTCTTTCTAGTTGAAGGCAACCTTGATGATTGCAATCTCCCAAAAGACTAAATTTGCTGTGAATTTGTCGAGCTGACAATTTAT